AGAACTCCTCCCTCATTTTTGGACCAATTTTGATAATTAAAGTGTCAAAAGAATGGCCCCGATCTGTAGTTTTGCAAAGTCTTTTTAATTTTTTGAAATTTTTATCAGTTTGGGCAGGATCTTCCATCAAAGTTGGATTTTCTCCCATAAGATTAACATGGAGAAATCTAAATATTTAATTGGAAACTTTGTCTCCACTAATTTCAGAGAACGACTGGGCGTAGAAACTTGGTAGAGGTGGCCAAAGAAAGGTCTTGGTCTCTAGATGAGTTACCAAAAGAAACACGAGGTGAATACCGTTAGGGCTCTGCCCCAGAAGCATTTAAAGATCCCTCCAAAGATTTGTTTAGATTTTCATCATGTGGATAATACTTTCGAATTAAACAGCTGTTAATTCTTAAATTGTATTTTAAACAACACACGTTTATTGGGAGCTATTGAATTGTCTAAAAGAAGTATTTGCAATGTTATTTACAGATTTAAAAATTGATGAGCTCTTATCGTGTCTAATAACATTCGAACAAAGAAAGAAACCTTGCCTAGAATGGTACCCGGTACCTATCTTTGACAAATTATTTGCAGTGGCCTATATTACGGACCGTGGCCCACTGGGTTGGTAGCATTTTTGAAAATAACACGACATTTTGGCTGTAAAAAATGGCCCAATGAGTAAATACTATTTGATCAGCTACTGTAATGACAGGGAGGTTATATTCCTTTTAAACTAGACCACATCATCCTTTATACGATACGTTGATTAACAATGCATTTTAACATTAATATTTACGTAACAGCCAACATGGGGAAATCTAAATATTTAATTGGAAACTTTGTCTCCACTAATTTGAGAGAACGACTGATGGGCGTAGAAACTTGGTAGAGGTGTCCAAAGAAAGGTCTTGGTCTCTAGATGAGTTACCAAAAGAAACACGGGGTGAATCCCGTGAGGGCTCTGCCCCAGAAGCATTTAAAGATCCCTCCACAGATTTGTTTACATTTTCATCATGTGGATAATACTTTCGAATTAAACAGTTGTTAATTCTTAAATTGTATTTTAAACAACACACGTTTATTGGGAGCTATTGAATTGTCTAAAAGAAGTATTTGCAATGTTATTTACTGATTTAAAAATTGATGAGCTCTTATCGTGTCTAATAACATCCGAACACAGAAAGAAACCTTGCCTAGAATGGTACCGGTACCTATCTTTGACAAACTATTTGCAGTGGCCTATATTATGAACCGTGGCCCACTGGGTTGGTAGCATTTTTGAAAATAACACGACATTTTGGCTGTAAAAAATGGCCCAATGAGTAAATACTATTTGATCAGCTACTGTAATGACAGAAAGGTCATATTCCTTTTAAACTAGACCACATCATCCTTTATACGATAAGTTGATTAACAATGCATTTTAACATTAATATTTACGTAACAGCCAATTTACAGTATTCTTTCTTTTTGGAAATGCCACTTTGCTATGTCATTTATTTGCATTATTTGTTGCCAATGATTAATGAAGCCGCACGCCCATATATAAACGAAGAGGCCCCTAACCGTCGATTTCGACGGGTTTCTCCTGGTAAGTTTTATTTACACAACTTGTGTAAAAATTGTGTGAAAATTGTGTAAAATGTATAAAATTGTGTGAAAATGTGTGTGATGAAGTACACACAAATTCACATCACAGTCATAGTGAAATTCACTTTTTCACACACTGGCTACAGATCAATATAAATTACATCACGCTAACAATCCTTTATTGATTTACATGAATACTAGAAAAATACAATTTTCTAGTATTCGTGTTGATTTATTTGTCGTTGCGTGGTCATTGCCTAAATGCCGATTTTCGTAATTTCAAATGGCAGCTGATTTCTAAATATTAAGTTATTTCCTAAATTGTCCGACATTTATAATCACGTGATTCTTGATACGAAAATAGACTCCAGAACAAATCTTAATATTGGTACCACCCATAACCGGTTTCATGCAAGATTATCGGCGCAATGATTTATTGAACATCAACAGTATCCAATAGTCAATGACATGAGTATCGAATTGACGCAACAAACGCAAGCAAACTCGCAAAATCGTCTCGCGCCTAAATTTTTATTCAAATTGTAACGACAATAAAATTGATCTGTTAATGCTATAAGATTCGTTTATACATGAGAATGAAAGTTTAGAATCTCATCTTCGAATGGTATCCAAATTATTTGAGTTTGGAATAATTTTTTATGAGTTATAAGCTGTTTAAAAGAAATTGACACTATGACGATTTTTGTCATATGGGCATTTTGGAAGCACAGACATATGGCGAAAATCGTCATATTGCCAGTCCTAGGGTTATTAAGGGAACAATTTAGTGGAATACCAGCCAGGTAAATGGAAATTCGCTTAGTCTGCAGGTTTGCTGCGGTGGGGGTATTTGGGTGTTCGCTGCACCCGTTTAGAAAGCGCAGATGCAAGGGCGCTGGTTCTTGGTTCTTACTGTTTGTAACACCAATGGTACCAAATTAAAAGATCTTAGTGTAATATTTTCTTGAAATAATATATATTCTATGTCTTTGATATTTTTGATATTTCCAAAAAATGTTAGGCTAAATAAGGTTGGTAAAAATGTTCAAATATGCGTTTTCATCATACATTTTAATGCATAAAAATAAATGTTAGAGAAAAAATAAAACACGGGATACTTGCAGTAGATTCTTAAAAACAAGAATCTGCAGTTTAGAACAGTTTAGGATAACGATGTAATCAATCACCCAGATTCAAAAGGCTTGCAAGCGCTCTTCTTGGTGCTGTTCAGTGCAATGGTATAGGAAAATCGGCGTACTGGTATAGCAACATCAGAAAATGGTATAGCAACATCATAGGCCTACTGAGAAATCCGAGCTGAGGTAGAGCCATTGACTATACAACAGTGTTATATAGTCAATGGTAGAGCGCTTGATAATGGTGAAAATGCCCAGATATTTATTACAGGCATTGTGTAGAGTTAAAAAAATAAATAATAATAATTAAGTACTATGTGTATACTACTGAATCGGATGTAGGATAATTCCAAAGATATTGACAGGTCGACAGGTCAATTTACACATCCTCCCATCTAAAAATAAGGGTCCTAATGATAGTTATGCAAAGCTAAGGTACACCACTAATTTGTAGTCCCAGCCCTTTACCCCCAAAAAATCACCTTTAATGTCATAAAAGAAAATGGCATAGTATACTAGTATACTACCAACTACCACTATATAACAACACTATAGTGCTGTATAGTATATGGTACTAGCTTACTACAGGAATGGTTTCGTTTTATGGAGTATGTTTTATCTATGGTTTTATTGACAGCAATTTACTCATTCCACCTATAGTCCAGTCAACGAAGCTGAATGAGTGGAAAAAAATTGTGTAGTCCCGGATTTTTGCACAGTTGTAGGGGATACCCTCCTGAACAACATACTAAAAGTCCTGACTGATGGGGTGTGAGCTATGGGGGGGAGGGGGGTGTAAATGCACAATTTTTCGGTTTTCTGTAAATATATCGAAAACAGTGCCCTCTAGCGGTAAAATGTACATATACAAAAATGAAGAGCATTAAATTTCCAACAATATTGCTCATTACATCGTGTTCCTAAAATCAACACTTAACGAGATTCATGGGTCATAAGAAAAAAAAACATTCAGAGCAACTAGTATTATTGTGGTAAAGTGATTGTTTTATACTACATCAAGTTATATAAACTGATAAAAAATGTGCTAAATACTCGTCTATGCAGTACAGCTGTTGAAAAAATTGAGGGGAGAGGAAATCGGGCCGGACTGGAAACCGAGAGACCAAACAGTGGTAACCATAATAACATACTGTAATACCTATGCTGTATTAAAACCAAAATAAACTTGCAGAAAATGTTATTACACTTGTCTTTTAACCCAGTAACCTAACACGTTTTACCTTGCATGATATGGGGTAGTAGGTTTCTTACGTTGTTTGTAATAGTACCGAGATGCTAAATCCAAATTTTCGACCTCGGCAACCTCCCGGATCACCTCCAAAAACCTTAAAAATTGGCGGAATTTTGCACTATTTTTACGTTTGTCCGATTTTGACCCTGAAGCATCACTTTTTCATAGAAAACTACCATAACCATTTTTAAAGTACATTAGATTACCTATCATCTAAGACCAAAATGGTTAATACTGGCCTAATAGTTTTCAAGATATGGCACAGCAAATAATAAATAAAATTACCAAATTTTGAACTTTTTTAAGTTTTTGGCTAACGTTAACCCTTAAGCATAAGTTTCTCATTATTTTTTATTAAAACAACCATAATTACTTTAAAACTACATTAAATTGCCCACAATTTAAGACCAGAATGGTTTCGATGTAATGAGCATTATTGTTGGAAATTTAATGCTCTTCATTTTTGTATAAGTACATTTTACCGCTAGAGGGCACTGTTTTCGATATATTTACAGAAAACCGAAAAATTGTGCATTTACACCCCCCTCCCCACCATAGCTCACACCCCATCAGTCAGGATTGTTAGTATGTTGTTCAGGAGGGTATCCCCTACATCTGTGCAAAAATCCGGGACTACACCATTTTTTCCCGCTGAGGGACATATTTTGAGCTTCGTTGACTGGGCTACTATGACACATTCGATTTCAACACTGTTGTTGTTGTTGAGTTGCACGAAAAGTAGAAAGTATCAATACCAAACAAAACCAAACCATAATAAATAGTACTGTAGATATCTCTGTCTCTGTCATCATTCATTACGCGTCCCATGCCCATTCCCAGTTCAGTTCAGTTCAGTCACAGCTGTTTGTATGTTTTGTTTCGTTAAAGGCATGAGATTCACGTGACTGCCCAGGTAGTTAAGGCGATTCAAATCGTGATCTGATTGGCCAGACTGCCGACAGTTTACAGCGTTTCGTCCAATCATCAGCTCGCTCTCTGCAGTCGTCACTGTGTAAGCTCACTAAGCTTTTGACATCAATAAATGCAGGACTGTGTTCGGTGGACTCGAGTCAAGATCTCTTGATTTGTTTTGTGAAAACGATTGTAGTTTGAACTGCTGTTAGTATATTTTAATTTATTATAGTGAACAATGAGCATCGCTGCGTTGTTACAAGCCGCGGAGTACCTAGAAAGACGAGAAAGAGGTGAGATTCTTTTGTTTATGTTAACGTTAATAGGTAGTTGTCAACATGGCTCCTATTGTCATTTCTACCTTAATCAGCTGATTTAATGTACGTATTTGTTTTATTTCGTTCCAGAAGCCGAACATGGATACGCCTCGACTCTTCCCCCTGATGATCTCAGAAGCTTTAGTAAAAGACCAAAGACAAAGAAAACTCAAGGAAACAGGTAGGACCTTATACCATTAAATACATAGTAACTTAGCCTAGTGAAAACATTTTCTTTGTCTTGAGCTCCCTCCAGTGACCTTTGTCACCTTAGATTTTTTTTATCAAGGGACTCTCCTAGGCCTAGGTCTAAACAAAAATTTTGTAGTCTTTTACAGGTTTCTGGTCTGTCTGGGTTAGGTTGATGATCAACTTGAGTAATTTCTTCTTATAGGTACTTAATTTAAACCATTAGGGAAATTATTTAGATGAAGTGACCAAGCGTTCTATAGTAAGTTATATATCATTGGAAACTAGATTTTTACAGTAGGCCTACCGGTAATTATTTAGATGAGGGTGACCAAGCGTTCTATAGTAAGTTATATATCATTAGAAACTATAGATTTTTACCTGAAAATAATGGTGCAAAAATTTTTCTGCTGTCACAAAAACTGAATTTACTACGATCTTTTGAAGTTTTTTTAGTGTTTTATTAGGAACATTGAATCTGCACTACTTACAATGTTTACACTGTAAAATCTAAGTTAATAGCACAATTCACATTTTATTGATTGTTTATATGCCATTTTAATGTAAATATTACCCTCACAACCCACACTTAGAAAGGTACCTAATTATGTTAATTGAAGTAGGCTATAACTAATGTATTATTTGATTACAAAATTAATTTAACATTAATAAACACGTCTAGTTCGGACATATTTAATCTTGATCTGGTGGACTGGATTATGAAAATTTAAGAAGGAATTCATTTAGTTCTTCTCTTTACTTAACCGAATAGCTTAGCTTAGGTTTTGACCATGTACCGTTATGTCCCATGAGGATAATAGTGTACTTAGTGGCAGTTTTAATAAAATGAATAAACAACAAATTGACACTATTCTAACCTAACCTAACCTAACCAAATTTCTCGTACAGTTTAAAATTCGTTTATAAGTTGAAAAAGACGTGAGGTTGGTAGGTTGGATGTTATGTGGACTCGTGACTGTTTAAGTCCTTTGAAGGTAGGTTAGATTAGGGAAGTTAAAGTTTAGGTTATAATGAATTGAGTTGTTGATTTATATTATCCCCATTCATTATAACCTAAACTTTACCTTCCTAATCTAACCTAACTTCAAAACACTTAATACAGTCACGAGTCCGCATAACCCCCAACCTATCCACCTCACATGTCTAAATAAGAACTGAAGTAGTTCATAATCAACGCTCAGTTGAATTTATAAATGCCTCTACCTCTTTGTCCTCTTTATAAACTTACTCTTTGTCATATTAGGTTTCTTCTTCTTCCCTATACGATCCTTTCAATTGTTCATGTTTGTCTGTTGGTCAGTCAATTCACAGTAAAGCTATGGCGACAGAGACCAGCCGACAAGAGGCATTACAGTAATAAAATTCAAAACATCGTAGTAAATTCTGTTTTTGTGGCAGTAGAAACATTTTTGCACCATTATTTTCAAGTAAAAATCTAGTTTCCAATGATATATAACTTACTATAGAACGCTTGGTCACCCCCATCTAAATAATTTCCGGCCTACCGGTACCTGAAAATAATGGTGCAAAAATGTTTCTACTGCCACAAAAACTGAATTTACTACGATTTTTTGAAGGTTGTTACTGTAATGCCTCTTGTCGGCTGGTCTTTTTCGCCATAACTTTAACTTACTGTGAATTGACTGACCAACACAAACATGAACGATTGAAATTGAAAGGATGATTTTTACCTGAAAATAATGGTGCAAAAATTTTTCTGCTGCCACAAAAACTGAATGAACTACGATTTTTTAAAGTTTATTACTGTAATGCATCTTGTCGGCTGGTCTCTGTCGCCATAACTTTACTGTGAATTGACTGACCAACACAAACATGATCGATTGAAATTGAAAGGATGGTACTTTCCTGTTAAAGGGAACATTCATTATTATCGATGATTTTTTTCTCGATATATCGATATTAACAAATTGAAACATATCAGCTGACAACTACGGTAAATATTGTTCAGTATCAACAAACAATGATAAAATGAAGCTTTTTAAAAAAAATAACCTAACAAAACTAACCAAACTTGCTGTGTAACATTTAAAAATTCCGTGTTTACCTTGTCTTTTTTATATCAAAAGGTATTTTTAAATAGTAGGCCTACAACAAGTTTGGTTGGTTATGTTAGGTTAGCTTAGAACAGTTTCATTTCTTAATCCATATAATAGTCTATTTTAGCCTAAACAAGATCAGTTGTCAATTTGTAATAGATCGGAAAACAAAAATATCGATATATCGAGAAAAAAATCATCGATAATAATGAATGTTCCCTTTAACAGGAAAGTACCGAAAGGATCGTCTAGGAAAGAAGAAGAAACCTAATATGACAAAGAGTAAGTTTAAACATAAAGAGGACGAAGAGGTAGAGGCATTTATAAATTCAACTGAGCGTTGATTATGGACTACTTCAGTTCTTATTTAGACATGTGAGGTGGGTAGGTTGGTTGTTATGCGGACTCGTGACTGTATTAAGTGTTTTGAAGTTAGGTTACATTAGGAAGGTAAAGTTTAGGTTATAATGAATCGAGTTGTTGATTTATATTATCTCCAGACTGTTTATGCACTTTGTAAAAAGTAGCCTACTACAAAAATGTGCAGAATTTTTGAAATTATTATTTATTGTGTTTGTAGTACTTTTTACAAAGTGCATTTAAACAGTCTGGAGATAATATAAATCAACAACTCGATCATTATAACCTAAACTTTACCTTCCTAATGTAACCTAACTTCAAAACACTTAATACAGTCACGAGTCCAACATCCATCCTAACAACCTCACATGTCTTTTTCAACTTATAAACAAAATTTTAAACTGTACGAGAAGTTTGGTTAGGTTAGAATAGTGTCAATTTGTTGTTTATTCCTTTTTTCTGCCACTACTCTATTATCCTCATGGGACATAACGGTTTCATGGTCAAACCTAAGCTAAGCCATTCGGTTAGGTGAAGAGAAGTGAGCTAAATGAATTCCTTCTTCAATTTTCATAATCCAGTCTCCAGATCCAGATTAAATCATCGATGTATAATACTCTACTGGATAGCGCGCTGTGTGGTGGAAAAACGGTCTGTGCCCACCAGTCGAATTGGTGGGATACTGAGGTGGACGGGCCGAATGAACCTCTGTCTTTTACACAAACATACTTTCACTCAACCTGCCCTGCTTCACTTATTTGCCAACGTAGAAATTTCAAATTTTTTTTTAATTTCTGGAGAAGACAGTGCTTCTTACTAGCCTATATAGTTTGTTTTAACCTAAACATATTTTTTATAATTTATTTAGGCAAATAAAAACTGACGATAGATAGTTTTTAACACAACTAAAAACATGAAAAATGTAGTATGCGAGGATCTTTTTTATTTTTTGGTACGGAAAAAAATTCCTGCGGCAAAGTTTTAGATTAAAGTACGGTTTTCAAAAAGGGCATGGAAAATAAAAACGTGGATTGTCTTTCGAGAGCTCCTCTTACACAGACTCACTCTACTAAAGACAAGAAAATCGGAAAAGAGGTACACCAAATCTGCAGCCAAGTTATTTTTCAAATTTCAAGCCATGAAATCACAGCTGAAATCATTAAGAACGAGACAGCCAAAGATCCAGTTCTCTCTAAGATTTTGAAAGATCTACTCACCAATTCAACTGATTCTGATTTTACGTTGGTCGAAAACATTATTTTCCGGGGAGAAAGAGTTTACATTCCATCACTACTTAGAAACAAGATTCTAAATGAACTTCACAAAAGTCATCTTGGAATCACAAAAATGAAACAGCTAGCACGGCGCTATGTTTACTGGCCAAATATTGACAAGGACATTGAGCATCTTGTGAAAGGATGTGAAAATTGTGCACTAACACAGTCAAATCCACCCAAAGCTCCCAACCACCCGTGGGAAATCCCAAAAGAGAACTGGGAAAGAATACACATTGACTACAGTACGCAGGACCGTTTCAAGGCTTCAACTTCCTCGTGTGTATTGATGCTAGATCAAAATGGGCGGAGATAAAAGTAATCAAAGATGCACCATCCAGCTCCAATACCATACATCTACTTGAACAGATCTTTGCTACACACGGCTACCCGAATGTTATGGTATCTGACAACGCCTCAATTTTTCAAAGTGATACATTCCAAGCTTATTGCAAATTGCATGGCGTTTTCCAGAAATTCATATCTCCAGGACACCCAGCAACAAACGGCTTAGCAGAACGCTCTGTTCAAACATTGAAGAACCGCCTGAAGTCCACAGCTTCGGAAAACATACCAATGGCAATAAAGGTCCAGAAGATCTTAATGCGGTACCGAGCAACTCCTCTAGCATGTGGCAAATCACCTGCTGAACTTTACCTCCACAGGAAGTTAAGAATACGAATGGATGCAATTTTTCCTAACATACAAAAAGCCTCAACTAGAAATGCTCCTTCTGCACGTTCATTCAATGAGGGGGAGAGAGTTCAGGTTCGTCTCTTCATGAACAACAAGAACGTTTGGGAGTTTGGAGAGGTAAATAAAAAGTTGGGAACTCGACACTATCTAGTTTCCCTTGATACGTCAGGCCGACTTATAAAACGACACATTGATCAATTGCGGTCTACTTTGATACCAAAACCAAAGGTTGTTAGGGCAGGACCAATCCACATATTTGATGTTCCACGGGCTTCTAAACACAGCACCAAAAGAAACACTACGGCTGCTACTCCTTATAATCAATTAGATAATCCTGAAAGACCGTCAACTCCTGAAAGACCATCAACTGCCGTAAGAACATCAAATCCCGGAGGAACGTCAACTCCCGAAAGACCATCAATTCCCGAAAAACCGCCAACTTCCAAAGAAAACAATTCAGAGGTTCCAGAAGTTTAGGAAACAGAGACAAACAATGGCCATATTCCTGAGAATCAAGAGAGATCAAGGCGACAAAGGCAAATGCCGGGCCGATACAAGGACTTTGTGCTTTCATAATAATACAC